CACGCATGATTTTTGACATAAAAGGGGTTCCCTGATCTGTGAGAATTTCCTTAGGTATACCCATCCTGCTAAACATCATCAGTAACTCCCTTGCAACATTTTTAGAGGTGGCATTCCGTAGAGGTACTGCCTCTGGATACCGTGTTGCATAATCCACAACAACTAAAATGTACTGATGTCCTCTTGCGGACCTAGGCAACGGCCCTATCAGGTCCATTGCTATTCTTTCGAATGGAACCTCTATGATGGGAAGGGGTACCAATGGACTACGGAAGCCCTTATGCGGAGCTTTCAGTTGGCATTCTGGGCAGGATTTACAAAACCTCTCTATTGCCGAAAATACCCCATGCCAATAGAATCGGATCAGAATTCGTTCCCTCGTTTTTTCAAAACCAAGGTGCCCACCTAACACATGGCTATGGGCTAGTTTAAAACAGTGTTTCGGTGAGATTGGGGAACTAACAACTGTTCTGCCTCCTCTTCCCCCTTTTTCTCTACTCGATACAGCAGATTATTTTTCACCATGAAATAAGGAAAGCTCAAGGGCTTGTCAGGGTCCGCCCTTGTACCCTCCACTATTTGCACACTCTCTCTTGCAGCTGTCAAGGACTTATCTTCCCATTGGGCTGCTCGGAAGTTACCAGGGGGGACTCTGAGATCCTGAAACTCCACTTCTTCTATAGGGTCTTCAGTATGGGGAGGTTCTACCTCATTACCCAGGCACACCAAGGGTGTCTCTTGCTCGTCACATTCTAAATCGGAGAAAGGAAAAATATTATCTATACACTCTACCCCGGGTAGCTCCTCAGAGCGCATTTTTGGATGAGCAGAGCACTTTTCCCATAGGCGGCAGAAATGGGGAAAGTCCCTCCCTAATACCACATCATACGGTAATAGGGGCACTACCCCTACAGAGCATTTAACCTCCCCTACCTTGGTGCCAAACTCAACCTCTGCCGTGGGGTATGTGTGGGTGTCACCATGTATACACACAATATCAATCACTTGTTTGGTGTCTAATTTCCCTGGCAGGAGCAGAAAACTTTTTATTAAGGTAACCTCACTCCCTGAATCAATTAGAGCTTGTACATTCTTTCCTTCCCCCCTCACCATTATTAAATGCGTTGCATTAATAGCACTAGTCACCACACACATCTTTGAGCAAGTCAATACAGTCCTATGCAGAGCCCTTGTCCCTACATCACACTGCATGGGCTCTTCATTCTCTGGACAGCTGCGTGCAAAATGTCCAGGCTCATGGCATTTAAAGCACCGGAGTTGTCCCTCAGCGTGGTCTTGTAGCCGTAATGGAGCTGGTGGGGACCTTCTGCCACCCCGGTCATATGGTTCAAGGTTCGGTACAAAGTTTTGTCTTTTGTTTCCCACTTTCCCGCTTATCCGGTTGTTAGCCGGTCGGGACTTCTGATGAGGATCAATACTGTATGGCTCCTTGGCAACCAAATACCTCTCAATCAGGCACATCATTGCTTCTGGATCCTGAGGGTCCCCTTGGCAGACCCATTGTCGCAGTCCTGTTGGCAGGTGTCTGAGAAAACGGTCCATCACAACCATTTCCACTATCTTGGTAGCAGGGTTGCGCTCTGGCTCCAGCCACTTCTGAGCGAGCCTGAGCAATCCATACATCTGGGCTCTGGTAGGTTTACTCACATCGTATGCCCAATTATGAAATCTGTGGGCTCGAATGGCTGGTGTTACGCCAATGCGCTTTAGAATTTCAGCTTTAAGTTGCTTGTAATCCTGGGTCTGGTCAGAAGGTAGGTCTTCATAGGCTTTTTGGCACTCCCCACTCAGGCATGGAGCTAGAAGCCCCGCCCACTGGCCCAGTGGCCATCTTTCCCGGGCAGCAACCCTCTCGAAAGTGGTGAGATAAGCCTCCACATCATCTGTCTCTGTCATCTTATGCAGGAAGTCTGTGGCACGGATACGGGATCCCCTTTCACCAGGGGGGCTCCCTGCAGATGGCAATATCACTCTCTGCAACACCTCAGTAAGGGCAGCTCTATCCATCTGCTGGGCTTCCTTCAGGTTCTCAACCTGGTTAACCAGTAGACGATTTGTTTCCTGTTGTACAGCGGTTGCCTGTACCAGAGCTTTCACCAGCTCCTCCATTATAGCACCAAGCAGGTAACAGTCTTAAAGGTACGGTGCTACTTATTTGATTAGCAGGTCTGCCAAAATAAAAGTCCTCAAGCAGACTACCGAATGACTGGCACACCCACAGACCCTCAATGTGCTACAATGCCCGTATTTTCCACCATATTGTGATCCTTGTTTGCAGGTAGCACGGTCCTCTAGGGTAAACAATAGGCACAGTCCTTTGCTTTGCATATAATCCAGTCACTTTATTGTTAAACTCCACACAGGATACAGCAGTAAATGAAAAACATAAATGTAACAGAAAACCTTATAAACAAAAACCTAGCTCGTCTGAGCACTAACTGACATTAGGTTCCCTATCTCTCAGGGTTAAACTAAACAAAACAATGTGGTTTCACCAACCTAGAGTCTTTGTCCACTCTCAGCACTCCAGTATTTAGCCAGCCTGCTGCTTCCAACCTTTCAGAGAGAAACAAAACATTCTCCCTTACCTGCCTAGCAGGGAGGGATTTATTCCCACTGCTGCAGCCGATTACCTACAGCTGAGCAGTAGGTTGGAGACAGTCCAAAACCCTGGGCTGGATCTAAGTCTTCCAAGAAAACCGCTAAACTGCGGAGTGGAGCACTGGCCCACCCTGTTCTCCAAATGCTCCACCCCAGGGGCCCATAACTAAATACTCATTCTGGTTACATACACAGAAACATACACTCCCCCTGGGGTTAAAAATCATATGCCTCTCTGAACAATTCTGTCGAGATATAGACTCCCTCACAGACCACCCCATTCACCTTATCACAAATGTAACATTCTTCTTCTTTCACTGGGTAAGTATATTAGTACTTAGGCAATACTGTGCTTCGACACTTCGGGACCTCGACAATTCGGACATTCGGATGTACCCGAATGTCCGAATTGCCCGAAATTCATCCAAATTCATATTCGGACCGAAACGAATTGCACATGTTTAACAATCTAAGACAGGAGGCGAATATTTGCTTTACGTTCCTTACTTTAAACCTCCAGCAGCAAAGAAATAGTTAACAGAACTTTTTCAAACAACCAATCAGAACAAAATAACAGCAGTATGAAAGCACCTTGTCAGACCCTCCCACTTCCTCTTTCTTTGAGGAGGTCGAGCAGGAGAGCAAGGAAAACCAACAAATCCAACTTGTAACAGGTACATCTAGAGAAGAAATCGCCAAAACCAGATTACAAAAAAAAGAAACATTGTGAAAGTAATAGAAGTAGAATAATCCCAAGAGTCCCGGAGTAACTCTCTAACCATCGTCGATAGGCCCAACACCTTGTGGATCCCGTAGGAGACACCTGGAGACAAGGAGTCATAGAGGGCCTTCGCATGACAACTCCAGCAAAAGAGGGAACCACGGCTGACTCCTCCAAAGTATTGTGACCAGGAGAAGCAACACTCCTAGGAGTGTGGTCCGATGCAACGTTCAAAGTATCATGGAGAAAGTGGGAAACGCCCACGAGGGAGACCAATCTCTGAGAAACGTGTCCACCACCTCATTGAGGTGGTGTCTAACTGTTCGCCCTGGATGCAAACAGATCTGAGTGAAGGGGGTCTTGGAATGAGTCCAGTAGTCAAAACACTGGAATGTGAAGTTTCCAATTGGTGGCGTCTCTCCAATGTCGGGAGAACCAGTCCGCTACTGGATTGTCCTGTCCCGGGAGATATTCCACCACAAGTGACAAATACTTGTCCAGAGAGTATTGAAAGAGATCTTTCGTGAGATCCAACAGCAGTTTGGAGCAAGAAACCTCCCAACCGATTTATGTAGCGGACAGCCGGAACGTTGTCCATGCGGAGAAGCAGGGAGCAGTGATTCTTCCCCTTGGTGAAGCCACAAGTGGCGACCGATCCTGCAATTAGTTCCAGACAGTAGATGTGAAGAAAAAAACGCCTTGCCGGTCCAGGCTTCCATATGTTGAAGCCACCAAGAAGTTCCAGGTAGGCTTCGTTCGAAAGCTACACGACTCGGTCGTACGAGGCCGATTACCTGAGATAGCGAGGCTTCAGACATTGGGGTGCCAAATAGTGCAGGGTCCTGGAATATGGCTTGAATGGAGGAGGAAAATAGGCCAAATGTCCGGGCAGGGTTCCTTAGTGTGTCCCACGTGTCAGGGAGCAGGCTTCTGATATCCTTCATGAAGGTGGTCACCTTGGACATCGGAAGATGGCGCACCGCCTGAACCGAATCCACCACAATACCCAGAAACTGGACCGACCGAGAGGGAACCAGTTCCGATTTTTCTACATTGAGGGTGATTCCCAGGTCCTTACTCAGACGGATCGAGGCCGTGAGATAGGCTTTCCTCACATCCAGTTGAGGGAACCAATCGCCCTTGCAGAGCAGGTCTCTGAGGAGATGGATGCCCTTTATCTTGAAAAGTTGATAGACGACTTACGCGTTGAGGACATGCAGATTGATGACAGGATGGAAGTCCTTTGTCTTCTTCCATACAAGGGAAATATTGCTCAAAAGGGAGGTGGGCCAGTCACCCACTCCACTGAGCCCTTGTCCAGCGGGGATAAATTGTCTGAATGAACCAGATCGGACGCCTCTTTGGTCATACGTATCGGCCGTGGAGTGGTGACCGGTCTTGGAGGTTCGAAAAAATAGATCCTGACTCCTGACATGGTCTGAGAGACATCTGTGCCTAGTTGAGAGACGTATAAATAGAAACGTGTCAGTTCAACTACTTCGTGAAGGCATCCCCAAAGAGTAGACCTTAGACATCAGGACCTAGTTCCTTGGGTGCCAAATCCACCAATTAGCCATCTATCTTGTAAAGGGCCGTTTTGTGATGTTTGGAGGACAGAGCTTCATTGGCGCCCTTAGGGCCCATTCTTGTAGGAGATTTAGCAAACACCTGCACTGGGGGATGTGGCACCAGAGCTGTTGGTCCGGGAATCATCCAGGACATCACAATCCTCCTCCACTGGGTGGCTGCCTGAACCAGAGGCCATCTTGGTGAACATGGCATGCAGCTTCCTCTTTATCGGTGGGAGCGCCATGGCCCTTCCAAGGTCACTTATGTGCGGCGCCCATATCCAAAGAGCAGAGGGAATCACCCGAGTCGGAGCCCCGAGCACCTGAGGTGCCGGATGCAAGGTCCAGGGTGGTCGGTGGAGTGTCACCATGGAAGGCAGTAAGGGCTTCAGGCACTGAGGCCACTATGGTGGCACAAAGCCAGACCCGGAGACTTTCTGGGTACGGAAATCTGCTCCGTCAGTGTGGTATCTGGTGAGGCCAGCTGGGGGTCACCCAACAAGCACAAGCATACCATGTATTCCCTCCTCTTTCATGATGGTTGGAGAGGTTGAAAAGCCAAGCAAATCATCAAAGATTAGGGACATGGTGAAAGATTGTTACATTTTCTGGGCATACACCACTTTAGACACATTTAGTCTTCTTTAGTACAATTTATGTCATTACTTATTAGCTTTGCATTGGGCCACCAAATCCATCAGATGTATGCTCTAAAACGGTGGTTCCCAACCCAATCCTCAAGTACCCCCTACCAGTCCAGGATTTAGGGATTACCCTGTTATGTCTATAGTGGTTTTAGAAAAACAAACAAGGGTTATCCCTAAATCCTGGACTGGTAGGGGATACTAGAGGACTGGGTTGGGTTGGGAACCACTGCTTTCAAAGGTATTCTTTCATATGGTCCTTTGCTTTAAGGCCCTGTGATTATGTAGCATTGTGAAGTGGAGTCTGACTGCTTCAAAATGGCTGTTTCCAAATATATATAGGCCAATTATGTGAAAAGGACAGGATATTGCATTGGCTTAGTGAATGACCAAATGGGATTAATTGGGCAGAGTTAAATTCCAGAGATAAAGTATAGCGACCCACCATCTTTAAACATCAACTGGCTCAAATTAGTATAACCCTAAATTTAAATTATACTGCATGTTTTGCATACATGGAAAGATAAAACACTAATTCGACTTTATACTGGTCAGTAATAAAAATAAAAAAAAAATTGAAAAACAAAAATTGACTCAGGAGTATTGTTGTTTTTATGTCTTCTCCAACGAGTATAAATATATTTGGAAAATTACATTACTTTGAGGACCTCTATTAGTCTTTTGAATTATCATAAAAAAAGCTTAAAATAAAAGAATTCATAAAATTAAATAATAGGTTCTATATATCTTCACTTACATCATTAAATGTTTATATCTCAGAAGTGACTTTTCCCAAACACAATGTATCATCCACTTTACTGTCAGATAATCCGCTCATCTTTATATCAGTACATTTTGATGTTGCAAACTGTATAATTATTGTTGCTGTGTTGGGAAGGAATTGTTATTATGTTACTTTTGTACAATAAGGCGTAATCATAGAACATTGAAAATTCTTATATCAGGTTTTAAAACGAATCAGTCCATTTAATATAGTTATTTCCTCCCTAAAAGATTATACCTTGTTTTATAATAAATGTATCTGAATCAGATTAATTCAAAGAACATATAGTGATACATCTAATAATATCACGAAATGTGGTTGATGACCAAAAGCAAATTTAAGATTTGAGATCTGAAAAATTTATTCCATTTCACAAAACGGCGATCGTTACCTGAAGAGAGAAAAAAAAAAAAAAAAGAATTTAAGAGTAACCTTTGTATTTGAGTAAAAGTCAGAATATGATCTTGGCCTGGATTTAATATTGTTGGATAATTATAATTATGGCCTTTTTTTCACATTTTTGGATAAACTTTTAAAATGATTGGTTTCAAAATATTATTAAAATATCAAAAAAAAAATATATATATATATATTAAAGAAAAAGAATACATCACTGCGTGTCCCGCACACAAGTACAATTCCGGCTCCCAGCCTCACTCTGCGGACGGCGCGAGAGGGAGCTGAGCAGAGTGCTCAGGGTAAGTGCTCCCTCGCCAGCCGCCTGCCCACCCAGCAGCCGGTCCAGGGAGAAAGAGAACCCCACCCCTCCTCCCCCCCCCAGCATTCCCAAAGGTAAGGAAGCTGGGGGGGGGTTAAATTAAAATTTAAAAAAAAAATGTGTTAATGTGAGTGTGTGTGTGTATGTCTGTGAGTGTGTGTTTCTGTTAGCTAGTGTATACATATCTGTCAGTGAATGTGTGTGTGTGTGTGTGTGTGTGCATATTTAGAAGGCAGGGCGGGGGGAAGGGTTGGTTGGAGAGGGTGCGGGGGGGGGAGGGAGGCGCCAGAGTTTTGTGTCCTGCACACAAGTACAATTCTCAAGCAGTAGAAATTTAAAGAAAGGTTTCTACATCCTGGATCCAAGCAGAGTTACAAAGTGATGGAAATAGTGGACATTAATAAACTACAACTGCAACAGTGCTACTTACTATGCACCCCTGAATTAAAGTCTCATTTTGTAGTTAAGCAATAGCTAAATTATCTTTCCTACATATCATTTTGGTATAAATGTGTCTAAGAAGGGAGATGTAAAACAACAGATGAAATTAGTATTCTTAAATACTTTTTTTATTAGACTAACAGAATTTTGGCACAACAAACTTATGGGGATCCTCCCTTTCTAAAGGGAATACTATAGTCACTCAGACTACATCATCTCAATTCAGTCATTTAATCCCTGTAAGGTAATACATTGCTGTTTTTTTAGAAAATGAAATGTTTATATTGCAGAGTTAAATGGATTCCATGATGCCAGGAAAACAAAGCCGTTTTCATGGCATTATAGGTTCCTACAGTGCCCCCTCTTCCGCAGTGTTGATGGTCTGTGCGGTCTGGGTGCCTACTGTGTCCCTTTAAATCCACCTGTAGTAGCCACTAGAAGCGCTTCCTGCTCCAGGAAACAAATGCTGCTGATGGTAACATTTGATTGGAGGAATACATCATTTGGGTGCACATTCATACCTCCATGGGTTCGAGGAGATTGCAAAGACTTCAAAGGTGCAACAGTTGGCAGCAGCAGAGGCGTCCCAGCACTGAAAACAAGTGAAAAATGCTTTTACATTTAAAAAAAAAAAAAAAAAAAGTAATCAGCCAAGGGTGGATTTAAAGGAACACTATAGTGTCAGGAATACATGTTTGCTGCCTGCTGCTGCCACCTATTGCACCTCTGAAGTATTTGCAATCTCCTCCAATCCATGGTTCTCATAGAGAAGCAGTGGATTAGAGGTATGCATGTGCACCCAAATGTTGCACTCCTCCAATCAAATGTTACCATCAGCAGCATGTGTTTCCTGGAGCAGGAAGCACTTCCAGTGGCCACTACAGGTGGATTTAAAGGGACACTGTAGGCAACCAGACGACTTCAGCTCACTGAAGTTGTCTGGGTGCAATATCCCAGGTCCCTTAACACTATAGTGTTAAAACCACCATCTAGCCCCCATGGCCCCCTCTTGTCTCCCTAAATACAGTAAAATCTTACTTGTATTTTAAGACAGCAGCTGATGACTCTGCTTCTGTTACTGCCCTTTGTGTGCTGACTGGAAATAGCCCATTTGGAATACCCTGGGTTTTCTACTTTTCAAAATGCTATGCCATGATGGGGTTATTTCATATTCCTGGGCTACCATATGGTCTCAAAAGGCAACACAGACCCAGCAAACCAATATGGCAAACTGAATTGGGCAAGCCCTATATTGACCCTGTAACTTTCCAAAACACCACAAAACCTGTACATGGGGGGTACTGTTATACTCGGCAGACTTCACTGAACACAAATATGAGTGTTTAAAACAGTAAAACGTATCACGATGATTAAATCACCAGTAAAAGTGCAGTTTTTGTGCAAAAAACAAATATGAATGTTAACTTTGGCCAGCGTTTGTGGCTAAGTGGCTACTATAAAAGATGGACATACCACATTTTGAATACCGCGGGTTGTCTACGTTACAAATGGTATGCCATGATGGGGTTAATTTTTATTCCTGGGCTGCTATACGGTCTCAAAGGCAAAATAAGCCAAGCAAACCAATCTGGCAAATTTCAATGTGCAAACATGGAAAAGGGGAAAGCCCTACATTTGACCCCTGTACGTTTGCAAAAACCCATAAAACCTGTACAGTGGGGGCACTGTTGTACTCGGGAGATGTTGCTGAACACATATTGGGGGTTTCTTTGTCAGTAATACATAACAGGAACTGAGAATCCATGCCTAAAGTACAATGTGAGAGAAAAACAACAAAAAAACGACTACCCAAAAGTTTGACAAAGACTGGTGGCAGAATTAGTGCATGGAAAGTGTTAAAATACCACCATTTGAAATACCCTAGGGTGACTTTTCAAAAATATATGGTTTAATGGGGGTAAATTACATTGGCTGGCTTCAAATATGTCCCAAATAGAACATGGGTGCATGATGACCAGCTGTGAAAATTCCATGTTGGAAAACTGGAATGTACACCCTCACATCTTTCTTTTAGCCCTAAGAGAACCCGACACACCTATACATGTGGGGTATCACTGTACTCAAGAGATGTTGCTGAACACATATTGGGGTGTTCTTTGGCAGTAACCCTTAAAGTTCTCAGTACATGTATTCTTAAATTGCTATGTGGGTCAAAAAAAATCAAAAAGTGTGTGTTTTTTTAAAAAACAATTTCATCATATTTTTTTTATAGTAAATTATATGATATGATGAAAATAATGGTATACTTAGAAGGAGCATTTAATGGCGAGAAAAACAGTACATAATACTGGTAAATGCCTAAGAGGAAAATTACAGCTAAACACAAACATCTCAGAAATGTAAAAAGAGCCACGGTCCTTAACGGTAAGAAAATGGAACAACGGTCTGGTCACTAAGGGGTTAAACCAGAAACCTCACCAATTGGGATCATAGTTCTTCAATAATTGTGCCACCTTTGTATCAACTTCCCACTTCTCTTCAGTCTGTAGTTTGAAAAGTTGCTTGAAATGTTTAGAAATGAAGGCACATCTTTCCGGGTTTTTTTCCACTATCTATGGTAGTTCCATAACCCATGGGTGCACCGGAAAAACTTTAACCATATCCCTGGTAAGTTCATCTTCCTGAATAACCGTAGAT